GAAGAGCAGACTCCCGTCGGGGAGAGCAGAATCTTCAGCCGCTCCAACTCTTGCTGTGAATCCATGCAGGCAGGGGCGGGACTTTATTTTGCTGAGCCACCATGCGGCCAATCATATACGAGGACACACTAGGATCATACCATTATGTGAAAGAAGGGTGGGGGGCAGACGCTCCAAAGACAGCAGGTGTAGTGGTACAGGCCAGCTACACAGATCGACAGGGAGACGGGGAAACGGATTTAAATGCAAGCGCGTCGGAAAAAGTCAAGAAATTAGCGAAAACCGAAAAAAGAAGCAGCATCTGGCTGCATGTCAATGATATTGGAGAAAGCAAAGCTGAGTGCAGGATTTGTAAAATGAAAATAACCTTCAGAGCAGGGTTTTGTTTTGGTAACCACTCAGGATTTATTGTCAGAGGTGGGAGAAGTTCAGATCTTGTACTTGAGTAAAAGTACCAGAGTGTAGGAATACTCGGTTACAATAAAAGATCCTGCATTCAAAATGTTACAAGTAAAAGTAGAAAAGTATTATCATCAAAATATAGTTAAAGTACCACCTGCAGAGGGATCTAGATTCAGGTGTTATTTTCCCCATAGAGACGCCTCGCTGCACATTATCCCTTGCATAAAGATAGGTTGTGGGTCCCTTATAACATGCTGTACACAGTGGAAATAAACATTCTGGTCACCTCAACATCAGGGATCTTATGCATTGAACTCCTTCTGAATCAAACCGTCACGGTAGCATTACCTTACTGATCCCTCTTAAAATAGAAAAAAACACGTTACTTTACCAGCAGAGAGAAAATGGATTATTAAATGATTAATGTGACTAATAAAGAGCAGTTTTATTATTAAGTATTATTCTGTTGATCGATGTCATTACATTTGTTGAAAAGGGTTTTGATTCTGCACACCGTTTACATGCATAAAAACCTTCATAACACACAAGGGGAGGGGTAATAACCGGAAAAGCATGACATGGGCCCTTTAAGTGTACTTAATATATCTCTGTACGAAAACTGAAATGTAAAAACAATTTGGCAACTTGTTTTGGTCCCAGCCAAGAAATATCCCGATCCATAATCCTCTGTTAAACGTCTTATTGATGTTTTTACTCCTCTGATTTGGTCTGGATTAAACAAACTGGATTCAGAGCTGCTGATAGGTGGATTTTGTTACCTTTGGACAGGCTGGCTTTGTCTTCCCCTGTTTCCAGTCTTTATGCTAAGCTAAGCTAACCAGTTGATGGCCTTATTTCTAACAAACATATACAGCAATCTCAATATCTATGATCAGCTGATCCAAGAGGGTTTTAAATAGTTTATAAAGCTTCAGAAGAACCAAATCTATCAGACAAATGTAGTTAAGTAGACATGGAAATAGTTAAGTAGATGTTTTTAAGGTACTTTCCCTAAGTTGAGATCTAGTGAAAACTGTACTTCAGTAAGTACATTTAGAAAAACACAAAAAATAACATTCTTTGTTCCTTTTTTTTTAATCCATTGAGGCTTTGTTCAAACTTTACAAGCAGTGTGCAGAGAGGTGGACGAAATACAATTAACATAACACAACAGCTGAGATGTAACATTTTAATTTCCCTGGTTTGTTAAACCACTGCAGCCTAATGTTTTATGATCAGATATTGTTGATTCTCCAAGTAACTGTCAATACATTTTGTACCAATATACTATAATTCAAGAATGAATTCTGAACCTCCCCTTTAAAACACACCAGAGACCCATCATTTTCCCCTCAATTGAAAATTATTAAAAAAAATATATACAGTATTTTACTAATGAAAAGGGAGTGCATTACTTCCACTAGTAATGTCTGCAAGTATGAAACACTTTTTGAACACACAATTCTGAGACAATAAATACTTTTCTTGTCCCCCTGACATATAAAGAAGTGGTAAAAGTTTATTTTTGAGTAAATAGTTTTCTGATCACTTCAAGTCATGACGGCAGGAAGTGCAATCCGTAGAATAAACTAGAGTACATTAGAACATACTCATCAGTATTTTATGTGTTTTTATGCGTCTCATCAAGGTGAACCATATGTGATCAGATTCTGAAACATTAACAATGTGTACAATGTACTTCCGCAGTTGAATACATTTATTACATTTAGTGAGAGTGAATCTTTCTGAAGAAAATCAAATGGTTGTTCTACTCAGTGTGATTGACAGGAGAGATGATCAGAGGAGCAGAGTTTTTACCACCTTTGTTGTTACAGGGACTAAAGTATGGGTAGAGTTTCTCTTTGAAGCCGCAGCCAGTGAAGGAGTAGATCAGAGCTGCAGCATCAACATCATAAAAGGAGACCAGACCCTCCTCATAATCCACAAACACCCCCACCTTCTCAGGCTGAGACTTCAGAGAGAGACGGACTGGAGGACTAGCACCAGCTTTGTACTCATTTTCATTCCTCAACCATATCATCCAGTAACCATTCTGAGGAGTCAGTGTGATTTGTCCCTTCCTGTTGATCGACTCTCTGACCACTCCTAAATCCCACCCAGTCTTCCCTTTAACCTGAACCTCGCAATAAAATCTTCCTGAAGAGAAACTCTGCTTTGCTAAAACACAGACACAAGGATCAAATCTCTCTGGATTGTCTGGGAGATTCTTCTTCACATCACCATGTTTAACTTGTTTTCCATCATCAGACAGGATGAGTTTGGGATGTGCTGTATCAGGATCAAGAGTCACCTCCACCTCATACTGCTGGACCCTCTTCAGCTCCACCTCAAGCAGCTTCTTCATCTGTTTACTGAGCGTCTCCTCCAGCTGAGTCACAGCTCTCCTCACAGTCCCCTCATATGAAGGTGGACGGACCCTGACTTCTGTCCAGTTCTTGGTGGGTGGAGCAGCGTTCAGGGACGTGAAGCTTTGGAGGAGGTGGAGCTGGTCTTCAGAGCGTGAGAGCTGCTCCACCTCAGAGCTTCTCTTCTTCAGCTCAGAGATTTCCTGTTCCAGCTCTTTGATGAAGCCTTCAGCCTGTTCCTCTGTCTCTCTCTGCTTCTCTTTGATGGTGTCGATGAGCTCGGCCTGGCTTCTCTCAACAGACTCCTTCAGAGCGGTGAAGACCTGAACACCATCTGCTATCTCTCTGTCTGCTCCTTCCTTACTGAGCTCCACTGAGCGATTCATCTCCTGAATCTTCAGTCGTCTCTTCTGGATCATCTGCTGAATTTCAGCCTCTGTCTTCCCCAGCTCTGCCTTCTTTCCTTCATATCCTTCTTTCAGAGGAACAACATCATGTGTCTTGTGGTCTGAATAGGTGCAGTGGATGCAGACACACACCTGGTCGGTCTGACAGAACAGCTCCAGCAGTTTATCGTGCTTCACACACATCCTGCCTTCCAGGTTCTCCACAGGGTTGATCAGCTGATGTTTCTTCAGGCCTGACCTTGTCAGATGAGGCTCCAGGTGAGTCTCAGAGTAGGAGGCCAGACACACCAGGCAGGACTTCAGGGCCTTCAGTCTGGTTCCAGTGCAGACGTCACAGGGAACTTCTCCTGGTTTGACAACTTGTTGCTCTGAGCTGCTGCTGCTGGCTTTCTGTTGAGCTGACTGTCTGAACTGAGCAGCCATCTCAGAGATGAAAGTGTTGACCCGCAGCTCAGGCTTAATGTTGAAAACCTCTTTACAGTTGGGACACTGACTCGGGACATTTCTATCCCAGTGTTCAGAGATGCAGGCTTTACAGAAGTTGTGTCCACATGGTGTGCTGACTGGATCAGTGAACACCTCCAGACAGATGGAGCACAGAAACTGATCTTCAGTCAGCAGACAGCTGGCAGCAGACATGTCTCTCTGAGGACAAAACGTGTGAAAAAAAAAAAAAAACTGTAATGTATATATGATTTAATCTCTTGTATCTGTTTGCTATAAGTCAAATAGTTCACTGTTATTGTTAAATGTTGAACAAATCTCTCTGTTTGTTAATATTATAAATACATCTGGAAAGTCATAGCAGCATTCAGTTTAAACTCTAAGAAACACAATGTGTAAGCTCTAATACTGTTGGGGGATTTTGCCGTTGTTGAACAGAGGAGTGAAACCTCCTACTGAGCATCACTGAAGTTAATACTAGTTGTTGTTGTCGTGTGCTGTGCTGAAGCGCAATCATCCTTGTACATTACTGTTTTATGTACAGTACTGTATTCACTGTATTTATTATTATCTGTGTATTTATTCTTATTTATACATTTCCCATCTATTTACCTTTATTTTTGAATAATTTATTTTGTACATACTTCTGATAATTGTGTATATAACTGACTGTTTTGCACTCTGGTTAGACCCTCCTTAATTTTGTTACACTGTGCTTGCATTTTGTAATGACAATAAAGTAATCTGATCTAAAAAACAGTAAACGTTATCAGCTTCAAAAGGCAGACAGCAGTTACCACAGAAACAGGTTCAAAGCTCAAGGCTACTTACCACAGTGTGTACAAATTAGATAAGCTGAAATATCAAATGTAATGCCTTTTATAAGCAACACTTGTAACACAACACCAGATCCCCTGCTTTGGACAGTCCAGAACAAATCTAATATTTAGATTCTACTTTGTTTAAAAGAGTAAATTATAAAGAACTTTTCAAATACAGGAAATATGAAAATAAGGACAAGCTAATGCTAGCTTTGACTGTATGCTCTCTAACCTAACTTACACAGAGTTTACATTGTATTTGTGGTTGTTGCTAATGTAAATGTTGAGGTTTTTATCTTAACTGACACATATCTATAGTATAATATTCTTTATATGGTAAAATGGATGTAATACAGTCAGATTCTTATTTTAATCCAACTTTGACTAAATATTTAGTAAGTGATGTGTCTGTAGTGTACTCACCAGTGTTTGCAGAGTCCTGCTGTGTTGTTGATAAAAAGCTGCTGGATTCAGTTGAGTGTTTCTTCAGAGAAACAGAGACTTGTCTCGGCTGCTGCTCTGCTGTCGCTCAGACAAACTTCAGCTTTGATTTCCGGGAAATGGAAACTCTTCTCATACAATGTGGTCCCACCTCTCATGAGAGGTGGGACCACATTGAAGAGTTTCCATGCAGTGGCAGTTTGCCAAGAGGGAGTGGAGGAAGAACTGTTGAGGCTTGTTATTTAACTTTGTGACGATGCATTTTACAGCTGATCCAAGAGGCTTTTCAAATAGTGTATTGAGCATAAGTAGGAATATTTTCTCAATACATAAAGGACATCTCTTTACACATCTGGAGATGTATAGCGATATTTCACAACGCTGTGTTATGGTCCCTGTTTAAGAGAAGCTGGTGAAACATTTCCTGTTTGAAAATGGATCTGTACTTAAGTGCCATTTTTTGCTACTTTTACTACTAAATGTAATTAAACCCTTTAGTTACTTTACAGATCTGGATTAATGATGTGAAATATAATCAAGTCTTAAATCAGACTTTAGTTCCACCTGGAGTAAATTCACAAGCTACCCTGCAGTATACAAAGTCATTCAAACTAGCTGCACCTTTACCAGCTTTGAGAACACTTTAAAGGTAGGGTAGGTAAGTTTGAGAAACCGGCTCGAGATACACTTTTTGTTATATTCCATGGAATGCTCTTAACATCCCGATAGCAATGAATATCTTAAGTGCTTTGACAAAAAATCCATAAAAAAACGTCATCTGTGGAAGCTGTAATACTGTAAAAAAAAAAGCACGACTCATTTTAACTGGATGGCCTACCTGCCTGTCAGCCTTCCATCTGTGCACAAACTTATCTCGTGCCCTCATTGGTCATGTGCGCGTTCATGTGTGTTGGAGGAGGGGCTCTGTAAGGAAGTGGCAGATTTTTTCCGGCTGTGCATTTTCAAATTCTAGCGATCTCGAGCTGGTTTCTCAAACTTACATACCCTACCTTTAATGATCAATCATTTAAAACACATCATATATATTATTCTAAAATGGACCAATCTGCACAATGACTACTTTTACCTATATTTTGATGATAATACTTTTCTACTTTTACTTGAGTAACATTTTGAATGCAAGACTTTGACTGTAACAGAGTATTCCTACACTCTGGTACTTCTACTTTTACTCAAGTACAAGATCTAAGTACTTCTACATTTACTCAAGTACAAGATCTAAGTACTTCTACATTTACTCAAGTACAGTGGCGAGCCGTGACTTTTATACCTAGGCCCTCTGACCCCCCCCCCCCCTTCCCTCGAAAAAAAAAGAAGCGTTATTACGTCACAGCGTATACTTCAGCGGAATATCAAAACAGCGGCCCGGGGTGCAAAACGCATCAATGACAGCGACCCTCTACCACACAAAACAACACCATTTATATAAACACCTATCATGACAGGGCACCCACAGCCAAGTAACAATTACAAATGAATTAAGTCGGCACGGCGGCCCACATTGAAAATGACTTAGGCCTACCTTTGATGATCAAATCATTTAAACACAAAGTCCATCCTCCTGTCCTTTTGGATGAAGCACTTGATGGCGGGGTCATGCAGCTGATCCTTTGCCACTCCAGTTTATCATTGTAACTCAATCTTGAAAATGACTCGGTTAATAATTTCGCAACGATGTCATCACTATCACTGACATGAGCCATCATAAACAAACTTCTGCTAAACATAAATCTATCGATTAGATTTATGATTCGAAAATAATAAAAGTAAGGTAGACATGTGGATATTATCCGGCTGAACAAAACGTGCATTTATCTAACAGGTTCGTTATCCACAGACCTTATTTCGAGCTATTACATCCATGAGAAATCCCATTGCTTTTCTGTCGAGGGAACCCGAGCGCAGCTTACTTCCGGGTTTTAGGACGCGTCGCTGCACCACTTGCATAAACCCCACAGCGGGCGGAACTTGTCATAAAGTCCGCGAAAATAAAGCCCACCCATTTAGAGGGAAGATATGATTGGTCAATTGTACTGTCATTTGACATTACTCTCTCATTGAGTTACTATAGCTGGCCCTCTGTGAATGTACAGAGGGACCAACAAGCTCTCCCGTCAGAGACGGCATTTAACCCTTCACATTCCAACAGAAACTGAACAGGCAGATTCGAAGGATTTATTTCTTTGGAAATGTTATTTTAAATACAATTAAATCAAGTTATTTTTGGTAAAACTAATGAAAAATGTAACAAAAGAAAAATGTAAAACATAATATTTAAAAATAAAATGTTTTTTTTTTTAATGTTTTCAAATATTATTTTTTTAAATATCTTAGGCCCTCACAGAGGGCCTAGAGGGCCCTGACGGCTCGTCACTGCTCAAGTACCAGATCTGAGTAGTTTTACTTTTACTCAAGTACCAGATCTGAGTACTTCTCCCACCTCTGAGGAAAAGTCTAAGAACCTGAATGTGACCTTTGACCTCCTTTGACCTCCTTTGACCTCCATTGAACCACAGCTGCTTTGTTTCTTTCTCCTCAGCTTCTCGTGAGCGCTCCATCATCGAGCGCGGCTTGACTTCCTTCCATGATGTTTCCTGGATCCTGCATGCAGGTTAGCTCTGAGTGTTAGCAATGCTTGCTAATGTAAACAAAGACCATATTACGTCCAAAACTGTCACGCACGTTGCTATCAGAAACGTTCTGATAGCAACGTTTCTGATAGTGTCGTGGGTGTAAAGCCCACATTTACCATATTATGTCATATCGGACGCAAATCTGGATCAGCTCCGTTGTTCCCCCGTTTTTAGAGATTTGGTTACGGAGAAAAAGAGAGAGGGTTTTATTTTCTGACACTTTGTGAGTTCCCTGACACACCGGGGACACATCTTTATGTACAAAGGGCATGAAAAAGTGTCATTTGCATGATAGGAGACCTGTAAATTGTGTGTTTTTTGCAGCTGCTACTCGTACGTGGGGCGTCGGGGCTACTCCCAGACGGTGTCTCTGGACCGGCAGGGCTGCCTGTATCACAGCACGGTTCAACACGAGCTGCTGCACGCGCTCGGGTTCAACCACGAGCAGTGCCGCTCCGACAGAGACCAGCACATCCGCATCATCCTGTGGGAGAACATCCAGTCCGGTCTGTATCCTAAACTGTTCTTATTATACATCCATGCTCTAAAACACCCTCAAATAAGCCCTTAATAAAGTATTTTTTAAAACATCATCCGAGGCGTGTCCCATGTCTCACCTGCACCACCTGTCTCGACCTCGGCCTGGGTTTTAAACACTTTTAGGGACACTTGGTTGACTTTATTTTAAGATATGTTCCCTCCCCTTGTGCCTTCTAACCAAGCGGCAAACTCTGGGGAAGAGCCGGGACGCCAATACGGAAGTGCCACAAACTGCAGTTCATATATTGGCCGATCGGCGCTGACTGCAGAAAGGAGCAATTTCCATAGACCCCCATGTTAAAATGCCCAATTTTACAGCCTAAAAAAACATGTTTCTACCCATGGATCCAATAAATATTATTATAGATATAGTTAGATTCCACCTTCATGATTATGGATCTGTGAGTGAATTGTTTTCTAACATGACCCTTTTATTTATATTAGGTCTTAAAGTTTTTGCATAAATTAGGGCGTGGTCACATTGAGTGACAGCTCTGTCAAGTGACTGCTGCTGTTAGCTTCTTGTCTCTCTGCTAGCTGCTCCGTCTCCGTGAAGCTACAGCGACTCTGCCTGGTCAGTTCATCCAGGGAACACAACTTGACCCCGGCCGTGTTTGTTTGTTCTTCATGCTTATATATCGGACTATTGTGACTCGCTCTGCGGTTAAAACAGACGGTGCATGAATGCCGTTTTGCGGTAAGTGAAATTCGAGTACTTTATTTATGTGTTTATGATTTTAATCAGCTACGTAATGAATGTTAAGGCTTGGGTTAGCGTGTAAGCGAGTGGTAGCTACATCGGTGCTAACGATGCTAATCGTATCCTCCAAGTTAACTTAAAACCATAGACTGTATATATAAAGGTTAAAATGAAATAGACAAGTGTTAAGCGTTAAGTGAGATAGTACTGTAGAACAAAAGGCTTCTGTTTGAGGTTGATAAAATAAGGTCATCATTGTAACTTAGAGAGATATTTTATTATGTAGGTAGGAACTGTATGCATCGCTAAGGTTCATTTAAATTGGCTATGCTCAAGTATGTAGACAAGCTAACGTCGAAGTAGTGTATGTGAAATCAACCTCACAATAAGATGTGTGTATATTACAATTATTAATGTCATATTTCAAGATGATTACTTAGATATTACAATATGGTTGGTTGAGCTGGAGTTCATTATTGAGCTTACACGTTAACGTCACAGTCATCTGAAGAACGAACCCAAACCTTGTTGTTTTTATTAATTGCATTACCAAATTGGTATCAAATAAACAGTAAGCATTGGTAACACAACTTCCAAAGTTACAGTAAAATAAAAAGGACCCTGACTCGGTCAATACACAATCCAACATGTTCAACAGAAGAGAATAAGTTATATTGTCTGTACACATGGTTCTTTACATATATATGTGTTTGTTTAAAGTGTGCAGGTGATGCAGACAGGCTGGACCAGAGAGTGAGAGACCCGGCCGGCGGGTCCTAATTCACAGTTTTTCTGGCCCCATAAAATCGTGGGTCTAGGGCCAGAGACAACGAGGCTGAGTCGGGCTGAGTATGCTAAACTAGAGAGAGAATCTTTAAAGATACTTTCCCTAAGTTGAGATCTAGTGAAAACTGTACTTCAGTAAGTACATTTAAAAAAACACACAAAATAACATTCTTTGTTCCTTTTTTTTTTAATCCATTGAGGCTTTGTTCAAACTTTACAAGCAGTGTGCAGAGAGGTGGACGAAATACAATGAACATAACACAACAGCTGAGATGTAACATTTTAATTTCCCTCGTTTGTTAAACCACTGCAGCCTAATGTTTAATGATCAGATATTGTTGATTTTCCAAGTAACTGTAAATACATTTTGTACCAATATACTATAATTCAATAATCAATCCTGAACTTCCCCTTTAAAACACACCAGAGACCCATCATTTTCCCCTCCATTGAAAATTATAAAAATATATATACAGTATTTTACTAATGAAAAAGGAGTGCATTACTTCCACTAGTAGTGTGTGCAAGTATGAAACACTTTTTTAACACACAATTCTGAGACAATAAATACTTTTCTTGTCCCTCTGACATATAAAGAAGTGGTAAAAGTTTATTTCTGAGTAAATAGTTTTCTGATCACTTCAAGTCATGACGGCAGGTAGTGCAATCCGTAGAATAAACTAGAGTACATTAGAACATACTCATCAGTATTTTATGTGTTTTTATGCGTCTCATCAAGGTGAACCATATGTGATCAGATTCTGAAACATTAACAATGTGTACAATGTACTTCCCCAGTTGAATACATTTATTACATTTAGTGAGAGTGAATCTTTCTGTAGAAAATCAAATGGTTGTTCTACTCAGTGTGATTGACAGGAGAGATGATCAGAGGGGCAGAGTTTTTACCACCGTGATTAAGACTTGGACCAAAGTATGGGTAGAGTTTCTCTTTGAAGCAGCAGCCAGTGAAGGAGTAGATCAGAGCTGCAGCATCAACATCATAAAAGGAGACCAGACCCTCCTCATAATCCACAAACACCCCCACCTTCTCAGGCTGAGACTTCAGAGAGAGACGGACTGAAGGACTAGCACAAGCTGTGTACTCATTTTCATTCCTCAACATTATCGTCCAGTAACCATCCTGAGGAGACACTGTGATCTGTCCCTTCCTGTTGATCGACTCTCTGACCACTCCTAAATCCCACTGAGTCTTCCCTTTAACCTGAACCTCGCAATGAAATCTTCCTGAAGAGAAACTCTGCTTTGCTAAGACATTAGGACACTTGTCAAATCTCTCTGGATTCTTTGGGAGATTCTTCTTCACATCACTGTCCTTCACTTGTTTTCCATCATCAGACAGGATGAGATCAGGATGTGCTGTATCAGGATCAAGAGTCACCTCCACCTCATACTGCTGGACCCTCTTCAGCTCCACCTCAAGCAGCTTCTTCATCTGTTTACTGAGCGTCTCCTCCAGCTGAGTCACAGCTCTCCCCACAGTCCCCTCATATGAAGGTGGACGGACCCTGACTTCTGTCCAGTTCTTGGTGGGTGGAGCAGCGTTCAGGGACGTGAAGCTTTGGAGGAGGTGGAGCTGGTCTTCAGAGTGTGAGAGCTGCTCCACCTCAGAGCTTCTCTTCTTCAGCTCAGAGATTTCCTGTTCCAGCTCTTTGATGAAGCCTTCAGCCTGTTCCTCTGTCTCCCTCTGCTTCTCTTTGATGGTGTCGATGAGCTCGGCCTGGCTTCTCTCAACAGACTCCTTCAGAGCGGTGAAGACCTGAACACCATCTGCTATCTCTCTGTCTGCTCCTTCCTTACTGAGCTCCACTGATCGATTCATCTCCGGAATCTTCAGTCGTCTCTTCTGGATCATCTGCTGAATTTCAGCCTTTTTCTTCCCCAGCTCACAGAACAGCTCCAGCTGTTTATCGTGCTTCATATATATCCTGTCTTCCAGGTTCTCCTCAGGGTCGATCAGCTTGTCTTTTGAAGCCTGCATTTTTCAGATGAGGCTCCAGGTAAGTCTCACAGTAGGAGGCCAGACACACCAGACACAACAGACACACCAGGCAGGACTTCAGGGCCTTCAGTCTGGTTCCAGTGCAGACGTCACAGGGAACTTCTCCTGGTTTGACAACTTGTTGCTCTGAGCTGCTGCTGCTGGCTTTCTGTTGAGCTGACTGTCTGAACTGAGCAGCCATCTCAGAGATGAAAGTGTTGACCCGCAGCTCAGGCTTTATGTTGAAAACCTCTTTACAGTTGGGACACTGACACAGGACATCAACATCCCAGTGTTCAGAGATGCAGGCTTTACAGAAGTTGTGTCCACATGGTGTGCTGACTGGATCAGTGAACACATCCAGACAGATGGAGCACAGAAACTGATCTTCAGTCAGCAGACAGCTGGCAGCAGACATGTCTCTCTGAGGACAAAACGTGTGAAAAAAACAAAAACTGTAATGTATATATGATTTAATCTCTTGAATCTGTTTGCTATAAGTCAAATAGATGGTGATATTGAACTCTGCTGATGTATCATGATTATGCGGAAGGTGAAATATTGCTCAAATTTGCAGTTCACTGTTATTGTTAAATGTTAAAAAATCTCTCTGTTTGTTAATATTATAATTAAATCTGGAAAATCATAGCAGCATTCGGTTTAAACTCTAAGAAACACAATGTGTAAGCTCTAATGCTGTTGGGGGATTTTGCCATTGTTGAACAGAGGAGTGAAACCTCCTGCTGAGCATCACTGAAGTTAATACTAGTAAAAAACAGTAAACGTTATCAGCTTCAAAAGGCAGACAGCAGTTACTACAGAAACAGGTTCAAAGCTCAAGGCTACTTACCACAGTGTGTACAAATGATATAAGATGAAATATGTAATTGTCATGCCTTTTATAAGATAAACTTGTAACATAATACCAGATCCCTTGCTTTGGACAGTCCAGAACACATATAATATTTAGATTCTACTTTGTTTAATAAAGTCAATTATAAAGATGTTTTCAAATACAGGAAATATGAAAATAAGTATAAGCTAATGCTAGCTTTGACTGTATGCTCTCTAACCTAATTTAACCAGAGTTTACATTGTAGTTATATTTTTGGCTGTTGCTAATGTAAATGTTGAGGTTTATATCTTAACTGACACATTTATATAATATTCTTTATATGGTAAAATGGATGTAATACAGTCAGATTCTGATTTTAATCCAACTTTGACTAAATATGTAGTAAGTGATGTGTCTGTAGTGTACTCACCAGTGTTTGCAGAGTCCTGCTGTGTTGTTGAGAAAAAGCTGCTGGATTCAGTTGAGTGTTTCTTCAGAGAAACAGAGACTTGTCTCGGCTGCTGCTCTGCTGTCGCTCAGACAAACTTCAGCTTTCATTTCCGGGAAATTGAAACTCTTCTCTTACAGTGTGGTCCCACCTCTCAGTGGCAGTTTGCCAAGAGGGAGTGGAGGAAGAACTGTTGAGGCTTGTTATTTAACTTTGTAACGATGCATTTTACAGCTGATCCAAGAGGCTTTTCAAATAGTGTATTGAGCATAAGTAGGAATATGTTCTCAATACATAAAGGACATCTCTTTACACATCTGGAGATAGATAGCTATATTTCACAACGCTGTGTTATGGTCCCTGTTTAAGAGCAGCTGGTGAAACACTTCCTCCTCCCTGAACAGACTGTTTGAAAATGGGTCTTGTAAGAAATATGAGGAGTAAAGGCTTGTGGAGTTATACAATAAACACACAACGTCTAAATCCTCTTATTAGATGCGATATTAATCACAGAGGAACGAACCCGGGAGGAAGACCCGCCCCCCGTCGACACCGGCCAATATGAGAGGACTATAGATTATAACAAATGATGGACAGGAAAAAACGCTCTCTCTCTACCCCGGCCACGCGATAAACAACAGCTGGGAGGAGGCAGCGGCACCCCACGCGATCGGGAGAGCCGATCCACTCTTACACATTCCATTTGTATCACCGTATCATTTGTTTAATTAAATGCTGTTAACTTTAAAATAAGCTTCCTTGGACTCTTTTCAGCTAATCTTGCTGTTTAAATCACCTTTAACAGTCTGTACTTAAGTACAATTGTTTGCTACGTTGTACTTTTACTCCACTACAATTGATTGATACCTTTAGTTACTTTACAGATCTGGATGGATAATGTGAAATATAATCATGTGTTGAATCAGACTTTAGTTCCACCTGGAGTAAATTCACAAGCTACCCTGCAGTATACAAAGTCATTCAAGGGGCGGGGGTGGTTCAGTCAGTGAAGTGGTCATGTTGTGTCTTTTTGTGGACATGTCTTGTCTTATTGTGGTCATTATGTGTACCATTGTGGTCATTCTGAGTGCCTTAGTAGTCATGTTGAGTCTTTGAAAACATATCACATAGTCATTTTGACTCTCTTTGGAGTTTCTTTATGTATCTGTTGTTATTTCCACACTTTTCATAGTTTCTTCGTGTCGTTTTGCAGCTGTTTTTCATATCTTTGTACTTTCTTTGGTCTTCTCGCAGCTCTTTTGCATCTGATTGTTGTCTTTTTGTCCGCCCCTTGAGTCTCTCCTTGGTTTATACTTGTGTCTTTGGGTGACATTTTGTAGATCTAGGCACTGGTGTTAAGGTCAGCTTTTTGGTGAGCTAAGATATTCTGTTTCCCATTCAGCAAAACAGAAAGTGAAAACTCTGCATTTATATCATTCTGCTCAGAACAAATCCAATCTAATTTGAACACTGATGAAAAGTAAATCCTGCTAAATTGACTTACTGTTAGTTGCATTCATAATGGATGTAACTCCATGGGAATACATTGAAATCACACCCAAATAATGTCACTTTAAATCCTGTATTGATCAACCCTTTCATGTTTTACACTCATCTAATACACAACTAACTTCACAATGATCTGAGGAATGGGGTGAAGTTCATTTTCTGTGTTTTCTGACCCTCGCTGTGATTCTCGTCCTCTCAGGTTGGGCGTACGCCTTCGACAAGATAAACACGCTGAACCTGAACACACCATACGACTACAACTCCGTCATGCAGTACCACAGGTTACCAAGCATTCATCTTCATCTATATACGCATATATTGGATATAAGTCAAAGGAACAGTTCACCCAAAACAATGAATTGTAGACAGAACTGAGGCTTGAATTGCAGTCAGGAGAGCCCAAGAAATAAAAGTGCAAATGTATTTCTACAGACCCAAAAACAGCTAAATATGTTTCAAAAAGGTCTGTTTTTATTTGAAAAAAATACCTTTGGACTACAGGTAGCCTGGACAGGTGAGTAACATTAAGAATTTATGTAATTTTGGGTAAGTTTGAATTCTGAGAAAAAATTAAAATCTTAGAAAAATCTAATTATGAAAAAGAAATTTTTAGGAGCATTTGAGTCTCAATGGTTTCTAAATGTTTAATATATATACAAGTTAATAATAATGAAGCCTCTGTGCTCTTAATGTTTCCAGGTATGCCTTCAGCGGGAACAATATGCCCACCATGGTGCCGATCCCCAACGTAGAGTTCGGCACGGCCAATCAGATGAGCAGGAACGACATCAGCAGACTGAACACGCTGTACAAATGTTGAAAGGTAAGAAAACACACGCTGGGTTCCCTTCATTCATCTGTTTTCAGGGCAAAGGAAAGTGTGTTTGTCGCCTTTAACGTGTTTCTTCTGTTCCAACAGGTGGTGAAGAAACCCTGAGGACATGGGGCCAATTTACACATCAAACCTGCTCTTTATAGCACAGTCTGAGAAAGTGTGTTGATAATAAATCTTCAATCATGTTCAATGAAGTGTAGTTTGTAGTTTGTGCAGTTGTTATCACTTTTGTACTTCAGAAACTGTTCCTGATTTTTAAATTCTTCTACCTCAGATTGAAGAAAGGTGTGAAGAAGAGGTGAAAGATGTGTAAAAGGTGCAGAATCTATTATGTATAAACTCAAACTCGTATTACTTTTAGTGTCTGTGTTTTAATGTCAGCATCAAAACAAACGAGAGATTTGGTTACAAAGAACACAATGGTGCTCTAGGAGGAGATTCAGGTGATAAGGTGGCGGGGAAAACATCATTATGACATCACAAAGTGGCCAAAATCTGATCAGCTCATTTTCAGACAGGTTTTTATATAAATGGATCAGGACAAAAAGTGAGCGAATATCTTTTCCTGAAACTTTTAGAGTCTCTTTCCACAGAGGGGACACATGTTGATGTAGAAGAGACATGAAGAAGAGGGGACACATGTTGATGTAGAAGAGACATGAAGAAGAGGGGACACATGTTGATGTAGAAGAGACATGAAGAAGAGGGGACACATGTTGATGTAGAATAGACATGAAGAAGAGGGGACACATGTTGATGTAGAATAGACATGAAGAAGAGGGGACACATGTTGATGTAGAAAAGACATGAAGAAGAGGGGACACATGTTGATGTAGAATAGACATGAAGAAGAGGGGACACATGTTGATGTAGAAGAGACTTGAAGAAGAGAGGACACATGTTGATGTAGAAGAGACATAAAGAAGAGGGGACACATGCTGATGTAGAAGAGACATGAAGAAGAGGGGACACATGTTGATGGAGAAGAGACATGAAGAAGAGGGGACACATGTTGATGTAGAATAGACATGAAGAAGAGGGGACACATGTTGATGTAGAATAGACATGAAGAAGAGGGGACACATGTTGATGTAGAAAAGACATGAAGAAGAGGGGACACATGTTGATGTAGAATAGACATGAAGAAGAGGGGACACATGTTGATGTAGAAGAGACATGAAGAAGAGGGGACACATGTTGATGTAGAAGAGACATGAAGAAGAGGGAACACATGTTGATGTAGAAGAGACATGAAGAAGAGGGGACACATGTTGATGTAGAAGAGACTTGAAGAAGAGAGGACACATGTTGATGTAGAAGAGACATAAAGAAGAGGGGACACATGCTGATGTAGAAGAGACATGAAGAAGAGGGGACACATGTTGATGGAGAAGAGACATGAAGAAGAGGGAACACATGTTGATGTAGAAGAGACATGAAGAAGAGGGGACACATGTTGATGTAGAAGAGACATGAAGAAGAGGGGACACATGTTGATGTAGAAGAGACATGAAGAAGAGGGGACATATGTTGATGTAGAAGAGACATGAAGAAGAGGGGACACATGTTGATGTAGAAGAGACATGAAGAAGAGGGGACACATGTTGATGTAGAAGAGACATGACAAAGTGGATTTTGCATAATAGGTGACTTTTAACTCATTGTTAAGTAACTGAAGCTGCCAAAATAATTGTGGTCGAGTCAAAAGTATATATAATATTTGGAGTTGTACAGAAGATGATTAGTGCCACGTCTGAAATATTTTGTTGAGATCTGACCAAAAGTTTTCAAATTCTGACCTTGTTTTTTTAAAGAATTACACTTTTGGTCAGATTTCAATTTCCCAAATAAATTCAGACATACATTAAACACAAAAATCTCAATAAATATTTGATTTCACATGAGGCCCTGATCTTCCTCCGTGAAGTAGTATACATTTGCATCAAATTGAAATTCTCTAGTTATGTATATTAACTCAGATTCTGCAACTATTGGACTTTTACAAATACGAACTCAATGGGATCCGATTGCTCTTTTTCCACTTAAAGGTGGGGTAGATCATTTTGGAGAAACCAGCTCGAGTGCGCTAGAATTTGAAAATACACAACCGGAAAAAATCTGCCACTTCCTTACAGAGCCCCTCCTCCAACACACACGAACGCGCACATGACCAATGAGGGCACGAGATAAGTTTGTGCACAGATGGAAGGCTGACAGGCAGGTAGGCCATCCAGTTATTTTAGCCGGGCCGACTTAAATGATTGGTCGTGCTTTTTACAGTATTACGGCTTCCACAGATGAACATTTTTTATGGATTTTTTGTCAAAGCACTTAAGATATTCATTGCTATCGGGACGTTAAGAGCATTCCATGGAATATAACAAAAAGTGTATCTCGAGCCGGTTTCTCAAACTTACCTACCCCACCTTTAACAAAATATATTTTATGTAAGTAAACTATAGAAACACTCAGTTTCAAGTTCACAGAAAAATATCACAGAACATCTGTATTGGAAAATATATCATCAATTATATTCCCATGTGCTAACAGTTCCTTTGGTAAGAAATAGTGTTTAATATAAAATCAATGACTTGAAAGAGTTCTGAGTACTTCTACTTTTACTCAAGTACAAGATCTAAGTATTACACACCAGACACTGCCTTACACTGTAATGCTGCCATACATACATGCATATTGAGAAGGAAAGATTGTTACACCCACTCTCATACATATTGTATTCACCTGTACATTTAAAGAAGTGCCCTTGTGAGAGTGTGTACAAGTGTTTTAAGTTCAAAGAGAAGGGGCACAAGTTAAGAGGTTGATGGTTAATGTCGGGAGCCATTTTTCTTTGTCGGGGAGTGTGTGACCCACACAAAGTGTGTGATCACAATTTTATGTTTATATTTAATATCATTTTAGAAACCTGTTTAACAATGGACAGCAGGGGGCAGTAGAGGGCAGGGTAGCACTGCCGTAAAGGTTTTTTTTATGATTTGCGTCTGCCATAAACGACTGACGTGGAGACGGAGCTGCCGTTGGCTTGCCATTGATTCTGGCAAGACCCGCCAAACGAGCAGCAAAGAATTTGGTTGTTCATCATTTCTCCTGTTTTGCAGGTCAGTTGTGTGTACATATTGTCACAAGTGTTATTAATATCCACGGTAGTGTTGTGTCCTAGTGTTTGAAGTGGTGTTTGGACATTGTTTATTGTCTTCAATGCCGCGTAGAAGACTGCCTCATTGCTGTGTGTAATGGCGGTCGCTATTTTAATGTAGCATAACTGAGCTCTCTGATCAAAGTGAATGCAAGTAAATGTAATTGTTTACAGCTCCTGTACATTTTGTGCTTATATATTTTCTGGGTTTATATCCTAAGTATTTTGTGTGTGTGTTATGTATTATCTGTATGTGGTCTATGGTCAGAGTTAATACATAAATGCTTGTTGGATGCTAATGCTAGCATAGATTACCTTTAAAGACCTGGGAAGGTATTTAAAAGGGTTTGATTACAAAATCGATATCTGAATAGAGAAATTCTTATTTTAAGTCATGGTGTTTATTTCAAATATATTGAAGACATGAATATATATATACGTGTTTATATTGAAGACAGAAAATGGCATTAACAATTGTGTGTGTGTTGTGTCAAATGGTTAAGGGCAATAACAATTGTGTGTGTGCCAAATGAATAATAAATTCTGGCAAGACCCGCCAAACAAGCAGAAAATAATTTGGTTGTTCATAATTTCTCCTGTTTTGCAGGAATATTATCTGTTATCGCGCCCTGCATAGCGGGGCCTGTTACACACAGATAAGGAGCCCTACTAATGTTATTTATTATAATAATATACATAATTTGCTTTTTACTTCTCATTTAAATCGTATTGTGTGTATTTATATGCATTGACTTCGTTCCTCACTGCTAGATCCTGTGATTATATTATTTATACTTATATTATATTGTATTCCTGTCCTCCTGCAGTGCGCACAGATAAGGAACCCCTCGTTATGGATGACATTGCGTACGACAGTGAGAGCGAGAGGAACGCTGACCCCTGCACCTCCGCCAGCTGCATGTGGGCGAAATCTGCAGATGGGAAGATCTACGTGCCGTATGTCATCGCCTCGCACTACGGTACGAGACTAAATCAAGTTTTATCGGCAAAGGAGAAGCAGAGGTGGGAAGTAACTAAGTAGATTTACTCAAGTACTGTATTTAAGCACAATTTTGAGGTACTTGAACTTTAGTATTTCCATTTGTTGCTACTTTGTCCTTCTACTCCACTACAGTTCAGAGGTAAATGGTGTACTTTTACTCCTCTACATGTATTTAAAGGTGGGGTAGGTAATTTTGGAGAAACCAGCTCGAGTGCGCTAGAATTTAAAAAATACACAACCGGAAGAAATCTGCCACTTCCTTACAGAGCCCCTCCTCCAACACACACGAACGCGCACATGACCAATGAGGGCACGAGATAAGTTTGTGCACAGATTGAAGGCTGACAGGCAGGTAGGCCATCCAGTTATATTCATTGCTATCGGGATGCTAAGAGCATTCCATGGAATATAACAAAAAGTGTATCTCGAGCCGGTTTCTCAAACTTACCTACCCCACCTTTAATACCTTTAGTTACTTGTTCCACCTGGAGTAAATTCACAAGCTACCCTGCAGTATACAAAGTCATTACAACTCGCTGCACATTTACCAGCTTTGAGAACACTTTAATGATCAATCATTATAAAACATATCATATATATTATTCTGAAATGGACCAATCTGCACAATGACTACTTTTACTGTCGCTACTTTAACTATATTTTGATGATAATACTTTTCTACTTTTACTTGAGTAACATTTTAACACAGGACTTTTACTGTAACAGAGTATTCCTACACTCTGGTACTTCTACTTTTACTCAAGTACAAGATCTGAGTACTTCTCCTTTTACTCAAGTACAAGTTCTGAGTACTTTTACTCAAGTTCAAGATCTAAGTATTTTTAATGTAATGTTTATTATTTTAGAGACCATTCACATGCACACAAACCTCCAGAACACACTACAGGAAAGGGGAAACCCCAAAAGCATAACAGTGCCTCTTTAATACTTCTTCCACTACATGCACTCAGTCAGTCAGACAGTTCAATGTCAGTGAGGTTTTTTTGTGCTCGTTTTTTAAAGGTCAAAGTCAGTAAGGCATCTATCAACAGACTTTAACCTGTTGGACCCCAAGCCTGTTTTTCAGGTCTCAGGCTCGAAAATGACATTCCCAGAACAAATGACCATATCTTCCCTTCTAAAAGGGTTAAATTAATAATCTTTTTTCTCAAAGTAATGATAAACCTGTGAGTTGGATGTAGGAAAGTCAGAATCAATATAGATGTTTTTTATTTTAAAGAAAATTCAGATTTTACATAGTAAAAAAACTGTAAATTATAGTGTCCGTCCAAACATTCTTTTTTACTTATAGTGAAAACTACCATTGCATGATGGTAAGGTAGACTAAAAGCAGTGTTTCCCACAGATCTGAAATATACTTGGGGGGGTGGTGGTAGCAGGGGGTGGGTTGAGGTGACGTGCAACAACATTAACCTTTCTGTTGGTCGCTTGTTAGCAGACCCTTCACGCGATGGCAGAGTGAACAGGTACAGGCAGGGCCCATAGTGAAAGCCCTATAGTTTAAATCTACTACCCACAAATAAACATATGGACATGGGTTACTATTTAAAAAAAAATTGTAAATGTATTTAGGAACCTATCCATGTGATTTTAAGTGGGGGTAGACCTCAAATCCTCTGGGGGGTCCGGGGGCATGCTCCCCCGGTAAGATTTTAATTTTGGAGTTAAATGCATCTGGTGCATTTTGAGAGGAAAATAAAGAGACTAGATTTATGGGAACACCCATATGAAACAGAACTGTATACATTTCAATAATCATGAAATCATGGCCATAACCAATAACATACCATTTCCAATATGAAAAACAATGAAACTTGTTTATTTATTTATTTTTGGTTCATTTCTAGTTGTGAGTGTGTCTGTGCTCCTGAACCAGCCTCTCCTGTCTCCCTCCTCTCCTCCCTTCTCCTCTTTGAGGCAGCAGCAAAGACTAGTTTTAGCTCTCAACAAGTTTTAAAAGTGTATCTTACCTTTTTTCCCCTAGTTAACTTTAAAAAAAATGTTTTTAATTCATGCATATGTTACTAATCACTCCCCCCTCAAATGGAAATATGTGTTTACATAAATGGTGACCAAACCGTTTGAGACCCACTGAGAACTTAGACTAAGTTATTATCTAAACACTCAGAGAGTCCTTTACCTCACCTGAGCTGAGGTTATCCCGAGCTTGAATGACACACAGAGACCAATCAAGGGCTCTGATTTATGATCTGTATGACAGTGGCCATGTCGGCAGGCCACATCATGTAGACAGCCAGTCACCCTGTGTGAGGCAGGCCACTTAACAGGCCAGGCCATCGGGAAGCCTCCTGAATCTTCAGTCGTCTCTTCTGGATCATCTGCTGAGTTTCAGCCTCTGTCTTCCCCAGCTCAGCCTTCTTTCCTTCATATCCTTCTTTCAGAGGAACAACATCATGTGTCTTGTGGTCTGAATAGGTGCAGTGGATGCAGACACACACCTGGTCGGTCTTACAGAACAGCTCCAGCAGTTTATCGTGGTTCACACACATCCTGCCTTCCAGGTTCTCCTCAGGGTCGATCAGCTGATGTTTCTTCAGGCCTGACATTGTCAGGTGACGCTCCAGGTGAGTCTCACAGTAGGACTCCAGACACACCAGGCAGGACTTCAGGGCCTTCAGTCTGGTTCCAGTGCAGACGTCTTATACCCCTTTCACACCAAGGCTTTTCCTGTTCTAGCTCCGTGCTAGAGCTTTTCTGGTTCAGCTCCCGTTTCCCTTTTCAGCTCCCGCTCTGTTCACACCGCCCAGCTGCCGCTGCTGCGTCATGACGTCACAGTTTACGTCGCTGATTTTCTCCCCAACGGCACCAACAACAACAACGGGGGGGGACTGCGTCGGGTCGATGATCGTGTTGCTTTTAATCATACGAAGCCAGATTAAATTAAATAACGACTTCTCCAACCTTATACTTTTCTCCAGAGTGCCGTGGTTCATTGTTTATTAATGTGTTTCAGCGGCATTTACCGACCGCTGCAGTGCTGGCTGCTCTTCCACGGGAGTTTATTCTCCCGTTAGCTCCGGGTTAGCTCACACGGCTCTAAAGTATTCACTGTCTGACTGTCACACAAGCAGCTGATACATATCCCCAGTTCCCCTTAAGTGAATGTGTGTCAGTCTGAATTGACACTGTTTGGCATCACAACGCTGTTATGAAAGTTTCTCTGGTATAACATGGGTGATGTTAGCATAGCAACCGAAGCTAAACTGACTACTTGCTAAGCCGTTTTCTACAGGCACTTTTTACCGGCGTATTTTTCATTATGATTCTACTTGTGATAGTCGGACATGACAACCTGTGCAGCCCATGTATTGATTCCATCCGATAGCTGCTATAATAACAAACAAAACGTCTGCCTGCTCTCCACAATGATCAATAACAGCGAACGGATGGTCAAAGTAAGGTACAAATAAACAGAATCACACGAAGCCTGGTTAGTGTTGCCTGACTTTATAAAGCGTGTTTTTTTTTTTTTACAAGTGTGTGGTTGCGTTCTAGTCACTTTGCTCAGCACTACTGCTTGTTACAACTTTTATTTGCCGTACTCGCCTTAACTGTTAGCTCAGGTTAATCTCGCCCCCCTCCGACGTAAGCGTGACGTATGCGGTTCTTGCTTCTAGACGGACAACTTTTTGGTGCTCGAAACGAACCGGATTCCGGAGTTTAGAGGCGGCTCCGCTGCGGTGTGAACAGGAAAACCCGGTGCTTTTCAAGCACCAGCACCGAACCGGCCCTGAAACACCGTTGGTGTGAATGGGGTAACAGGGAACTTCTCCTGGTTTGACAACGTGTTGCTCTGAGCTGCTGCTGCTGGCTTTCTGCTGAGCAGACTGTCTGAACTGAGCAGCCATCTCAGAGATGAAAGTGTTGACCCGCAGCTCAGTGAATTGTCCGACCGGCCCACTTCGGTACCGGCCCACCGGGAAAACTCCCGGTATTCCCAATGGCCAGTCCGCCCCTGCTAGGACTACAGGTAGCCTGGACAGGTGAGGAACATTAAGAATTTACGTATTTTCGGGTAAGTTCGAATTATCAAAATATGAAAAAAAGTCTAATTCTGAGAAAAAGTGAAATTCTGAGAAAAAAGTTATAAAATATGAGAAAATAATCCAATTCAGAGGAAAAGTGAAAATTATGAAAAAAAGTCAAATTCTGTGAAAAAGTTAATAAACTAGAGTACATTAGAACATACTCATCAGTATTTTATGTGTTTTTATGCGTCTCATCAAGGTGAACCATATGTGATCAGATTCTGAAAAATTAACAATGTGTACAAAGTACTTCCAGAGTTGAATACATTTATTACATTTAGTGAGAGTGAATCTTTCTGAAGAAAATCAAATGGTTGTTCTACTCGGTGTGATTGACAGGAGAGATGATCAGAGGGGCAGAGTTTTTACCACCATTGTTAAGACTTGGACCAAAATGAGGGCAGAGTTTCTCTTTGAAGCAGCAGCCAGTGAAGGAGTAGATCAGAGCTGCAGCATCAACATCATAAAAGGAGACCAGACCCTCCTCATAATCCACAAACACCCCCACCTTCTCAGGCTGAGACTTCAGAGAGAGACAGACTCGAGGGTCAGCACAAGCTTTGTACTCATTTTCATTCCTCAACCATATCATCCAGTAACCATTCTGAGGAGACGCTGTGATGATTCCCTTCCTGTTGATCGACTCTCTGGCCACTCCTAAATCCCACTCAGTCTTCCCTTTAACCTGAACCTCGAAATAAAATCTTCCTGAAGAGAAACTCTGCTTTGCTAAAACATCAGCACAAGGATCAAATCTCTCTGGATTGTCTGGGAGATTCTTCCTCACATCACCATGTTTAACTTGTTTTCCATCATCAGACAGGATGAGTCTGGGATGTGCTGTATCAGGATCAAGAGTCACCTCCACCTCATACTGCTGGACCCTCTTCAGCTCCACCTCAAGCAGCTTCTTCATCTGTTTACTGAGCGTCTCCTCCAGCTGAGTCACAGTTCTCCTCACAGTCCCCTCATATGAAGGTGGATGGACCCTGACTTCTGTCCGGTTCTTGGTGGGTGGAGCAGCATTCAGGGACGTGAAGCTTTGGAGGAGGTGGAGCTGGTCTTCAGAGCGTGAGAGCTGCTCCACCTCAGAGCTTCTCTTCTTCAGCTCAGAGATTTCCTCAGACAGCTGAGATGTAACATTTACATTTCCCTGGTTTGTTAAACCACTGCAGCCTAATGTTTAATGATCAGATATTGTTGATTTTCTGTACATACATTTTGTACCAATATACTATAATTCAATAATGAATCCTGAACTTCCCCTTTAAAACACACCAGAGACCCATCATTTTCCCCTCAATTGAAAATTACAAAAAAAGGATATATGTATATATACAGTATTTTACTAATGAAAAAGGAGTGCAGTACTTCCACTAGTAATGTGTGCAAGTATGAAACACTTTTTGAACACACAATTCTGAGACAATAAATACTTTTCTTGTCCCTCTGACATATAAAATAAGTGGTAAAAGTTTATTTTTGAGTAAATAGTTTTCTGATCACTTCAAGTCATGACAGCAGGTAGTGCAATCTGTAGAATAAACTAGAGTACATTAGAACATACTCATCAGTATTTTATGTGTTTTTATGCGTCTCATCAAGGTGAACCATATGTGATCAGATTCTGAAAATGGACAAATTCCAAAGCCAGCAGAAGCAGTGGTTGTCCTCCATGACTAAAAACAGAATCAAGTCCCACGTTCTTGATGACGCCGCCCTTCTGGTATGTAGTTTACAGAATTATCTCATTCACCAAAAGTGTTAAAAGTAGTGTTATTACTTTGACAGAGGATTATAAATTAACTGGTATTGCTTCACATCCACAGTATTAATTGTATCATTAATGAGAATATAATTCATAATTAATGATTTTCAAACAGAATTAACTATTATGTTTAGGAAGTGTCTCATAAGTTAAAAATCCCAAATGTATCCAACAAAACATTATGAACAAATCATTGTTTCTATTATGATGCCAGGATATTAGGATAAATTCAAATATAAACAACAGTTTTGTGTATTTATTTAATTGATCTCTCTACCTCTCAACAATTATTTTCCCAGCTGGAGAAGTTGCATGCCCTTGGCTTGAAGCCCCTGCTGCTGCTGGCGCATCCCCCTACCAAGAGGGTGCCACGGACACCTAAAATGAAGGTTTTGATGCCCATACATGCCCAGCTTAGCACATCAGCCAAGACATGCCTCGACAATGTGGAGGTCATTTTCAAGCTGATGGTTGCAGGTGAGATTGCATTTATTTAATAACCATCTGCACGAGTCACTCATGCATATATTGACTATCTGTTATACAATGTGTGGTGTTGATTTGTCCTGTTTATTTCAAAGCAACAAAGAGAGTCATTTTAAAGAGCTGGGGTCTCATTTATAACTGTTATGTATGCACAAAACAGGGCTTGAAAGAGGTGTATGCCACTTCCCATGCAAAAGTTGTAATCTATATATTTTTTTTAATTGACAGAAGATTATGATGACAGGGGAAATTGTCTATGCAGATGGTGAGGTGGTGAATTGAAGTCAGATTGTAGAAATACATGTTATAAGCATCATTATACATATAATAAAGCCTCTCACATATTTAATTTCAGTTAATATCACACGTTTCTTAAAGATCCTACATTCAAACCATCAGTGTTATTTGTGCATATGCTTGTGAGCCATAACTAATTCCATAAGCATCTTTCAATTGTAAAAGAAGTAAGCCAACTCAAATCTCAAATCAAATTCCACTTAGTATTTCATCAGCACTGTCTCGCCATCACATTCCCCACCATCGGAGCGCAGAGGAGATGGTCGAAACAGTATAGTACTGACACTCGTGGTCAGTTGTGGAGCGCACCACAGCTGATGAAAAAAAATCCAAGATAACATGAAATAGCAGTAAACAATAGCAGAACAGATGCAAGTACCAGACTGTGTCTCCAATGCGTTCTGTGGTGCACAAAGAGCGCACTGAAGACACTGCGGCCCCCACACACGTCTTCTCAAGTGACCTCACCCAGCACATCTTTCCCACCTACACATATGGATAGCAAAGTCTAGAAATAAAGCCAGTGACAGCTCTCGCACAATCTCACATATGAGTCCTAATTATATTGCAGGCCAAAACTTAAATAAATACATTTTGTTCACTTATCAAACTTCCATTTTCCAATGATAACCCAGTGTCGGGGATACCATTGAGTTTTGCAAATATTGAAGCGATCAGTTTGATTGCTGTAAACATTTAATTACTGTATGATACTCGTAATGCTGCATGGTGGACCACTGGCACTGCTAGGACCCCCTGCATGTAAGAATTAAGAGGGGACAAGTGTTCTGGGACATCCTCCATCACAATCAGAGTCACAGTCACACAGTCAGAAAAAGAAATTGTTTTCTTCTTCAAATAAATTGCGCTGAGCAGTGTGGACAACCCTCAGCTTCTCTGGCTCCTCTGCCCTGATGCCAAGCAGATACCTGTGGGTGACATCATACTCAATCAATCTTTTTTTTACAGTTTAGTTTGATTAGGGTTGCCTTTTTTTGCATGTTTTGCACATTGGCCTAATTTCATATTTTATAATGTATGTGTGTGTATTCCATGTTCCTGTTTTCAAACATTCAATATTCAAAGGTGTTATTGTCATATGCACAGCTACAGCGTAGTTGTTGGCAATGACAATCTTAACTCTCAGGCTCCTCCAACAATGCAGCATACAAATAGTACAAGAAGAAATAAAATAGTGCAAGAAGAAACTAGTCCAACAATGTAGGTGCAAAACTAACATGCAGGAATAAGTCAAATATATACTTATAAAATAGAATAAGATAAGACAGAAAGTAAAATGAAATACTAATATGGGGAGGCATGAATGAAAAGGTTGTATAAACAGATGTGGATATGTATAAATATATTATATATGAACAGATAACTAACCAATGCAACATTATGGTATTATACATAATAAATAAATAAATATGTGGGCTTTTAAACAGATTTGTACTACAAATCCTTTGTAGGTTGGACAAGACTCAACCCAGACCAAGAGGAGAACCCTGACACACCAACACCACCCCAAGACCCACCCAACCAACTGCCCGATGGAAGCTACATCTTAAATTTGGTGCCATGTGATCCATCACCCATCACCCATAACCAGCAACCACAAGAAACAGCAGATCCACCACCACACCAGGCTCCAAGCACCCACCCACCACCACACCAGGCTCCAAGCACCCACCCACCACCAAACCAGGCTCCAAGCACCCATCCACCACCACACCAGGCTCCAAGCACCCACCCACCACCACACCAGGCTCCAAGCACCCACCCACCACCACACCAGGCTCCAAGCACCCACCCACCACCACACCAGGCTCCAAGCACCCACCCACCACCACACCAGGCTCCCAGCACCCACCCACCACCACACCAGGCTCCAAGCACCCACCCACCACCACACCAGGCTTCCAGCACCCACCCACCACCAAACCAGGTTCAAATTATGCTGGAACCATCACGCCAAATCCCACCAATACGGCAGCCACGTAAAAGAGCCAAAACAATGAAAGGTATGTTTAGCTTGTATTCTACTCACATTTAGATGCCACATAAGCATCAGTAAGTTAATGTTGCGATTTTTGTAGACCAAACATTGATTTATTAAAGGCCGGACTCATATTTGCCTTCAAATGTTATGCATGGATGCTATATTAATGTTTCGCACACATGCACATTTTGGAGTTAAAACAAAGACACAACAGAGTAACCTGTATGTATGTTGTCTGATAAGCTGAAGTCACATTCATTAAAACCTTTCTATACTTTATAATTTAATAGAAAGCTTGCACATCCTTGCTTAATGTAATATAGTGCTACAGAGCCCAAGTCCCAGTGTAATGAATATAAGACTAAAACATATCCACTCGGACTACTGTAAGAGCAGGCAGACACATTGAGCTTGTCTGGGGGCTGTATTGTGTACGTTTCTTTTGACGTAACGGAGAGACCGGAGCGCCTCTACGTTTCGGGCTGGACCTGCTTCGCCTATCCTGTACTGCTGTGCTGAGGAGGATCTTCACCGGGGACATCGCGGAGAGACCGGAGCGCCTCTACGCCTCGAGCTGGGCCTGCTTCGCCTATCCTGCTGTGCTGAGGAGGTTTTGCACCGGGGTCATCGCGGAGAGACCGGAGCGCCTCCACGTTTCGGGCCTGCTTGTGCACCTATCCGGATGCTGTGCTGGTCTGGGAAAATGGCCCCTATTGTGATTCTGCTATGCCTGTTAGCTATTTTGGACAATGAGAAGTTCTCTCGTCATCCGGAGAAGTCGACTGGGTTCAGGTCTGTTCTACCGCCCGCAGTGGACATCCCCTGTAAAGGTTCGGATGTCTTACACAAACATTTACCGGTCACCTTGTCGCAGACAATCTGCTCGACAAAATATGTTTGTCTTTTTTGTTTGCCTGCGATGATGGTTCTTCAGGACTGCTTCTTAAGCTCTAATCAAACTCTCGCAGACTTTTCCGGTGATTCTAAAGTAGATGACAATGTGTGTGTGTCGATTAAGAGGAAAAGATGCCTGGTTTTTTTGTTGTTATTACTGTCAGGAAATGTTCAACCTAACCCTGGTCCGCCCAGTAGTAGTAGTCGGATCGCTACTCCTGCTGATTTTAAAGCTAGATCTGGGTTGGGTTTCATCCACTTGAATGTGCGCAGTCTGTTAGGTAAACTAGATTTTGTCCGCATTTGGGCGAGCTCGACTGACGCTGACGTCATTGTGTTATCAGAAACATGGCTAAATAAAACTATTTTGGCCTCTGACATATCCTTAAATGGTTATAATGTGTATCGTACCGACCGGCCTAATAAAGGTGGTGGAGTTGCCATTTATGTTAAGAATAAGTTCAGTGTAACCACATTGATCTCCAAATCTGTCAGTAAGCAATTCGAATTTTTAGCCTTAAATATAGAAGTGGCAAAGGGGCAACAAGTCATGGTGGTGGGGTGTTACAGACCCCCCTCAGCTGTCAAGGACTCCTTGTCTTCACTAGCAACACTTTTATCACAACTAGACTACAAGGAAATAGTGCTACTTGGAGATTTTAACTGGGACTGGTTAACTGCAGTATCAGAGGATTTTAAAAACCTTTGTATCTCTCTGAATGTTACTCAGATTGTTGACAGTCCTACTCGCCCTAACGTTAAGTCCCCTAATAAATCCTCCCTAATTGATCTCATTCTAACTAATGTTCCCTATAAATACCCATCTGTGGGAGTATTTGCAAATGATGTGAGTGACCACTGTGTTGTAGCCACAATTAGGGACACTAAGGTCCAAAAGGTTAAACCCCGTATTATTATTAAGAGACACATAAAACATTTTGTGGAGCAGGGTTTTGTTCATGATCTGTTTGGGTTTGATTGGGGAAAAATCGATCTGTGTGCTGATGTTGAAACTGCATGGTCTTATTTTTATCTTGGTTTTATGGAAATTATAGATAAACATGCACCCCTACGTACTTTTAGAGTAAAGGGACGAGACAATCCTTGGTTTTCTGCTGAACTGTCCAGTCTCCTACATGAGAGAAACAAGGCCTGGGCAAAGGCTAGGAAATCAGGCTCAGAGGTAGAATGGCTGCGTTTTAGGCAACTAAGAAATAGCTTCACTTCACAGGTCAAAAGTGCTAAGTCGAAGTACTATTTGTCAGTTACTACAGAAAACCTAAATAATCCTAGGAAATTTTGGAAAGCCATAAAATCGCTATCCACCGGTGAGATCCGAAATGAGCTACCTCCGTGCATTACCACAGCATCTGGCTCTATATCGGACAGGGCTACTATGTTACATTGCTTTAATGAGCATTTTGTGTCCTGCGGTTCTATGTTTGATTCTGTGACTAACTCTGCTACTGTGAACACCACAGTCGGTGACTCTGAACAATGTGGTCTGGAAAACACTTTCAGTTTTACTCCTTTTACTGTAAATGTTGTTCGTGAAGCTTTAAGCAAGTTAGATCCTAAGAAACCGGCTGGCCCGGACAACGTGGAACCTTTCTTTTTAAAGATAGCTGCAGATTTTATTGCTCCACCTCTCACTACTCTTTTTAACCTCTCCCTCAGCACAAACACAATTCCTAAAGTATGGAAGTCAGCGTATGTCCTGCCTCTACTAAAAGGAGGGGAGGCAACTGTTTTTCATGTCTTTGTAGTTTCTTTGGTCTTCTCGCAGCTCTTTTGCATCTGATTGTTGTCTTTTTGTCCGCCCCTTGATTCTCTCCTTGGTTTATACTTGTGTCTTTGGGTGACATTTTGTAGATCTAGGCACTGGTGTTAAGGTCAGCTTTTTGGTGAGCTAAGAGATTCTGTTTCCCATTCAGCAAAACAGAAAGTGAAAACTCTGCATTTATATCGTTCTGCTCAGAACAAATCCAATCTAATTTGAACACTGATGAAAAGTAGATCATGCTAAATTGACTTACTGTTAGTTGCATTCATAATGGATACAACTCCATGGGAATACATTGAAATCACAGCCAAATAATGTCACTTTAAATCCTGTATTGATCAACCCTTTCATGTTTTACACTCATCTAATACACAACTAACTTCACAATGATCTGAGGAATGGGGTGAAGTTCATTTTCTGTGTTTTCTGACCCTCTCTGTGATTCTCGTCCTCTCAGGTTGGGCGTACGCCTTCGACAAGATAAACACACTGAACCTGAACACACCATACGACTACAACTCCGTCATGCAGTACCACAGGTTACCAAGCATTCATCTTCATTTATATACGCATATATTGGATATAAGTCAAAGGAACAGTTCACCCAAAACAATGAATTGTAGACAGAACTGAGGCTTGAATTGCAGTAAGGAGAGCCCAAGAAATACAAGTGCAAAGGTATTTCTACGGACCCAAAAACCGCAAAATATGTTTCAAAGATGTTTGTTTTTATTTGAAAAAAAAACCTTTGGACTACAGGTAGTGTAGGTGCCATAATGCTACTTAGCCCAAGTTCATTATTTGTATTATTATTTGTTTACGTCACTTTTATTTGTTTGTTGAGCACTTCCGGTAATTGTCACATGGGTGTGGTTTGTGTATTTAAGTCACCTGTTTCATGTCGAGTGCGGATGACAGAGGGTGAGCTTGTGCTGTCATTTTTTCTGTTGACCGTTTTGTCCATGTTATGATTTTGTTTATTAAATATCCCAAAAACTATCTTGCTTCACTATGGACTTTCTCTTCGAAAACGCGTCACAGTTTATAGCCAAGTTTAGCCTCTCGGTGACTCAAACGCACTCGACATGAAACAGGTGACTTAAATAGACAAACCACACCAATGTGACAATTACCGGAAGTGCTCAACAAACAAATAAAAGTGACGTAAACAAATAATAATACAAATAATGAACTTGGGCTAAGTAGAATTATGGCACCTACAGGTAGCCTGGACAGGTGAGGAATATTAAGAATTTATATATTTTTGGGTAAGTTTGAATTTTGAGAAAGAAATACAAAGCTTTAAAAAAAAAAATGTAAATTATGAGAAGTGATATTTTGAGAAAAAAGTCAAAATATGAGAAAATTATCTATTTAGGAGGAAAAGTGAAAATTATGAAAAAAAGTCAAATTCTGTGAAAAAAATTGAAATTGTTGAAATTTTTAGAAAAAAGTCCAAATCTGCTAAAAAGTTTGAATTCTGAGAAAAAAGTTTGAATTCTGAGAAAAATTTGAAATTGTTGTAATTCTGAGAAACAAGCTGAACACATTTTGAATAGTCCAGCCCATCTCTTCTTGTATTATTTTTATAAAATAAAGCAGCTAAATTAAAGTGGACCTATCATGCTATATTTCAATAATATATTGTAGGGCCATACCTATATAAAACATGTCTGTGAATTTTTTTTTTCAAAATACCAAACAGATCATGCATTTTAGCCATGCCTCATTTTGCTCTATTTGCTCTATTCCAGCCCTGTCTTCACAAGGGCTGATTCTGTGGCAAATGAGCTGCAGCTGACCACGCCCCCCTGCAAAGGAGGGGGGCGAGGCACGAGCGTCATGTTACCATGCTGTTACCATGCTGTTACCATGCCACGCAACCTCTCATTCCCCTGATAGGTGAGAGTTGCCCATATAGGCGGAGCACCCTGTTTCTGACGTCAGAGCAATTTCAAATCTGTATCAGATCCGTTGCATCCCCGTTTTTAGAGATTTGGGTATGGAGGAAAAGAGAGAGGGTTGTGTTTTCTGACACTTGGTGAGTTCCCTGACACACCGGGGACACATATTCATGTATAAAAGACGTACAAAAGTGCATTTTGCATGATAGGTCCCCTTTAAGTTATTACAGCAACAGAATGAATAAACAGTTGGCAAATAATAAAGATAGATAATATTTAAATGCATAACATTCATAAGAGTGATACCAGGATTAAAATAGGTCCCAAGCTCTCAAAGAAAATGCAAAATATACATTTACCGACACTGCCTTATCGGCGTTTTTCTAATTTGCACAATAAAATATGTCTTCATAATAATGAGATTGATCAGATTTGTTTTGGTGACTGAACCGACTCGTTTAGGAGCATTTGAGTCTCAATGGTTTCTAAATGTTTAATATATATACAAGCTAATAATCGTGAAGCCTCTGTGCTCTTAATGTTTCCAGGTATGCCTTCAGCGGGAACAATATGCCCACCATGGTGCCGATCCCCAACGCCAACGTAGAGTTCGGCACGGCCAATCAGATGAGCAGGAACGACATCAGCAGACTGAACACGCTGTACACATGTTGAAAGGTAAGAAAACACACGCTGGGTTCCCTTCATTCATCTGTTTTCAGGGCAAAGGAAAGTGTGTTTGTCGCCTTTAACGTGTTTCTTCTGTTCCAACAGGTGGTGAAGAAACCCTGAGGACATGGGGCCAATTTACACATCAAACCAGCTCTTTATAACACAGTCTGAGAAAGTGTGTTGATAATAAATCTTCAAACTTGTTCGATGAAGTGTAGTTTGTAGTTTGTGCACTTGTTATCACTTTTGTACTTCAGAAAATGTTCCTGATTTTTGTATTCTTCTACCTCAGTTTGAAGAAAGGTGTGAAGAGGTGAAAGATGTGTAAAAGCTGCAGAATCTCTTATGTATAAACTCAAACTCGTATTACTTTTAGTGTCTGTTTCAAATGTCAGCATCAAAACAAACGTAACTTACCAAAAGCGCAAAATGGTGCATAAAGGTATATATTATGTAATCGGAAAAGCATCATCAATAATTTGTTGATCTTGTATTTAAGTATTTTTTTAAGTAACTGAAGCTGCCAAAATAATCGTTTTCGAGTCAAAAGTATATATAATATTTGGAGTTGTAGAGAAGATGATTAGTGCCACAACTGAAAAGAAAAAGTGAGATCTGACCAAAAGTGATTTCTTTTTTTGTTAGTTAGAATTCTGACTTTTAAGAAATACACTTTTGGTCAAATCTCAATTTCCTTTTTTTTTATAAACATGTGGCCCTAATCTACAGATCTAGGACATTTCTTCTCAGGGGGGTTCTATCCAATGCAGAAATGGTGATGGCAATCCATGCCTTTACATGACATTACATGTCACTTGTTAGACGCTTTAATCCAAAGCGACTAACATACTCAATACTGTGGGCAATCCCCACAGGAGCTATTTGGGGTGAAGTGTCTCAGGGACACAACGACATGCTGACTGCAGTGGGGTTTGAACCTGTGACCATCTGATCCCCATACCAAGCCTCTATCCACTGCGCCACACGCCTCCTGTATTTCATCCCGGCTTGATTACTGTAATGCTCTTTTTTCCTGCCTCAACAAAACATCAATAAACCGGTTACAACAGGTCCAAAACGCTGCAGCCAGATTGCTCACTCGGTCCAAAATAACATGCCACATCACTCCGATCCTTTCTGCCCTGCACTGGCTCCCTGTCCATCTCAGAACCCAATTCAAGGTCTTGGTTTTCACATATAGAGCTGTCCATGGCCAAGCCCCAGCCTACGTTAACGACCTTATCCACCCTCACAGCACAACCCAGGCCCTGAGGTCCTCTGAGCAAGGCCTCCTAAGGGTGCCCCGAACCACGCTAAAGACTAAGGGGGACCGTGCCTTTGAGGCGGTGGCCCCAAGACTTTGGAATGACCTCCCTCAGAAACTGAGAGCCTCTGCCTCAGTAGAGATTTTTAAGGGGCAGCTAAAGACTCACCTTTCCGACAGGCCTTTGGGGCGTCAGAGGAGGAGAGTTAGTAGCTGTTTCTCATTGGAGTTTATCCTATGTTTTACCTGCTGTGTTTTATGACTTTTATTCTACATGTTATAGTTGTACTTTGAATTGAGTACTGTATACTGTGAAGCACTTTGTGCATTCGTGTTGAGAAGGGTGCTATATAAATAAAGTTTTACTTACTTATTTACTTTACTTCTTTAGACAGGAAGTAAACACAGAATTCAGACTTTTTTTCCAGAATTCTAAATGTTATCACTTCTGTTCAGATCTCAACAAGTATTTCACATGTGGCCCTGATCTTCCTCCGTAAAGTAGAAGTATACATTTGCATCAAATTTTAAATTCTCTAGCTATGAGATTCAGACTTTTACAAACACGAACTCAATGGGATCCGATTGCTCTTTTTCCACTTACAAAATATATTTGATGTAAGTAAAAGTATCATGACTAAACTATAGAAACACTGAGTTGCAAGAACACAGAACAATATCACAGAACATCTGTATTGGAAAATATATCATTTATATTCCACTTTGCTAACAGTTCCTTTGCTAAGAAACAGTGTTTAATATAAAATCAATGAATTTATAAAAGAGTATATTTCCCCCTGTGGCACGCTCCACTCACAGCTGCACACACACACACACACACACACACACACAAACTTCATACTGAGTGTTTGTGGCTTCAGCATAATTTCATTTATCTCTTAGTCTTGTCTCTGGAGCTCAAGGAGGACATTAACTCTAATCGTGGAAATAAAAGGTATTTTCTTAAAACCTCAATAATGTGAAGATGATTTTCCACATCTTTCTCGCTGACACTGTTAGTGGATATGAAGCTGCAAAATCCAAAGAAACAAACACAGTGTTTGAATGTTGATATTGATCTTGATAAACTGCTTTGAGATGAAGCGTTCACTCTGCAGGTCGTTGCTTAAAGACCCTCTGCTTGTAATGAATGAACAACGATGGCTTCGTACAGAAAGGACTCTGATAGTAGAGAATGAAAGTCAGGGGTAATAACACAGTGTACTTTATTTGAAAGACAAATTAATACATAAAAACATATTCAAGATAAGTAAATGAGGCGTGTGGCGCAGTGGACTAATGTTCGGATCAGGGGAGCACAGGTTCAAACCCCACTGCAGTCAGCATGTCGTTATGTCCCTGAGACCCTTCACCCCAAATTGCTCCTGTGGGGATTGTCCACAGTATTGAGTATGTAAGTCGCTTTGGATAAAAGCGTCTAACAAGTAACATGTGATGTCATGTAAATTAAAGTACCTCAGAATTTAACTGCAGTAAAGATGTGTGTCCACTAGGGAGCGACACTTCCTCACAGTTCACATGGAAACACCTGGTAGTAACACACCTTTACAGAGCTGCTTTAATGACACAGGTATTTAAGCATCGCCACTAAAAGAAAAACAATTGTTTTCCCTCAGAATGTAAATGGAAAATCAGCATTTACTTTAATGAGAAGTTTCAAATGTACGCCTGAATCCAGAAATGCCAATAAGGAGTCACATTAGATTAGATTACTTTATTGTCATTACATAATGCAAGCAGAGTGTAACGAAATGAGGAGGGTCTAACCAGAGTGCAGACAGTCAGTTATATACACATCTACCAGCAGTCTGTACAAAATAAATGATACAAATAAAGGAAAATAGATGTAAAATGTATAAATAAGAATAAATACTATTTAAAACACAGCTTGCACAATCATCCTCAGTGTCATCTACACAGTGATCCTTCTTTCAAGATTGTTATGCAGTGTAAATAAACACAACTAAAGCACAAACAAAAGAAACAAGGTATTATTTATTTATATTTTAACCCTTGTGTTGTGTTCGAAAGCTGTTACCGTTCATGGTGTTCGCGGGTCAGTTTTGACCCATGATTTATCTCAGTCCAAAACACACACAAAAAATGACTATCATCCGATATTGTTTTAACTACATCATAACTAACTTATTATGCATTCATAACCGTACAATCCTGTTGTGATTTAATGTTATGGCCCAAAACACATTACACCACATATTGCACATGTGCATGTGTGAGTTCAGGTTCAAGTGTTAGTGCACATATTCTTTGAGAAAGGTTGAGTTCCCGTGGGGGGGGGGGGGGGGGGGGGGGGAGGGGCAGAGGGAGGGGAGACCAGGTGCATGTTGCGAACAATTATTGTTACAGTTTAAAGGTATGACGATAAAATTGTGCATTCAATGAAGCTTCTGTAAAAGGACATTTAATCATTGCTTCATATATATATACATTATACATATATATTACGTATATATTTTACTTTGTATTTACTACACTTTCCTAATGAGCAGGTTTTCTCTCAGGAGCCGTCTGTCTCCGAGCTCCTGTGGAGGGCCAACAAGGATGTGGGTGAGTCAACATGCACATTTATGTATTTATATATTCAGAGGTAGAGTGAACATTAATAGACATTTCTAAATGTCCCAAAAACCCTGGACACATATTACAGTCACCCTGAGAAAGAACATAAATAATGACTAAATTATTTGTAGAGACATAATGAGGCAAGGCAAGTTTATTTATATAGCATCTTTCAACACAAGGCAATTCAAAGTGCTTTACAAAAATGAAAGACATTAACAAAAAGTGCAGCAGAAACAACCTGATACACTTCTTCCAGTATAATTCAATGAACACACATTGAAATATAACCTTTGACCTCATTCACACAGTACAACTGAAGTATTCATAGACATATTGTGTGTGTTGGGACGTACTATGAGATTGCACATTTGTTCACTGTCTCATAGCATATTTTAGTTTACTCAGTGCAGACAGGTTGTATTGAATCTTGCAGACACTGCCCTTATTTTAACCTCTTATTCCTTGAGCCAACTCCCTATTAGAGAACGTGCTATTCAAGCATTGTGTCGCTAACAGGTGAAGGTATGTTGCCATTGGTTGACAGTTTTGAAAGGTTGGGCTAATTTGATTCCTTACTATGTTATCATTAAATAATGCTAGATTAAATTTGAATCTAATACAAAAAGTGGTCATAAGAATTAGTTACTATTTTTTTTAACTGAATTACCTGTGTACTGCAAAATGTAAATTCACAATACAAGGCCTTTTTTTATCATTTTCTCCAAATGAGTTTCACTCCCATCTGTACTCTGAGTGGTTTGTTCATATATCATCAGTAGCCAGATTTATAGACTGATTATTGATGATTGCGTTAAGGATTATAACATCTGTTTCCCTAAAAAACATGTGGAGAATAGATTTTTCTTAAAGGCTGCTGACAGTTTTTCTGGATTGATGTCGTGGTACAAACCCATATCAACACTCCCCTCTGTAAAAACCTTTGACTCTAATAAGTCGACAATAAAACAAGAATTTGATCCTGGTTTTAACCAGTGTACACATTTCTATGCTGTTTCTGTATGCGTTAGTATATTTAAAGATAACATTTCAGAAAACGTGTACTGTAATAAAAAACAAAGTCATGATGTGAGTGAAACATTTTTAATTGTAATATTATTCACCATCCACCTCTTTAAAAATAATGACATTGCATTTCAAATGATAAGCTCCATCTTATAAACAGGGCATTAATAAAATAGACTTTACAAGCATATTTCATGCAATTTTGATATTTACAAAACCCTTTATTTATCTCCCAGTCAGACGGAACGTTTGGCGGTGCGGGGCGGGGCAGGGCGGTGCGGGGCGGGGCGGGGCGGGGCAGGGCGGGGCGGG